CACACACACACACACACACACACACACACACACACACACACACACATTTATACACCATAAACAATAATAAAAAATAAATAATTTCTTAAGGGGTTAATGATATTGATGGATTAATATTGTGTGTGCGTGTGTGTGTGAGAGGCTGACCTGCAGGTGAAGAAGGCGATCAGAGGGAACTGTGGGTCGTGTGTGTCTGTGAACACGTTCTGGATGAAGAGGTTTGGATCATCGCTGTGCTGCAGGAGACATACACACACACACACACACACACACACACACACACACACACACACACACACACACACACTGAACATAACTGTTTGTCTGACTGTATCAGTGTGTGAATATTGATGAGGGTGAAGCAGACGTACGGTGAAGAATCGAGCCACGTTTCCTTCCCTCGACGCGTCCAGATAATACACTCCGTCATGTGTGTGTGTGACAGTGTGTGTCCTGCTGTCCTGCAGACCGTTTGACTCCATTAATCTGGGCTTCTTTCTCAACGCCTGCTCACACTGATCATCCTCTACACACACACACACACACACACACACACACACACACACACATTCATATGAACACATATACACATGTACTGTATATGCACACACATATATACAAACACACATTCACATGGACACATACACACACACTCAGGTGTATATATACAAACACACACGCACACATACACATTCACTCACACACACCCATTTACACACACAGGTATATATAAACACACGCGCGCGCGCACACACACATATACACAGGTGTTCAGTTGGCTGTGGACCACTCTGGAGGTTTGTGTGTGTGTGTGTGTGTGTGTGTNTNANGTCTGTTTGTACCCGTCTCGCTGCTGATGCTGAACTGCTGCTGATCCTGAAACAGAGGAACACACAATACACTGATCACATGTTCAGACACAAACACACACTGCTGCATTCAGAGTCTGTGTATGCGTGTGTGTGTGTGAGTAAGTTTGCAGGTGCGTATATATCTGTGTGTTTATAAGTAAGTCTGTGTGTGTGTGTGTGTG